CAAATCTGCAGTACATCTGTACAGCCTTGTCCTGTATTACTTTATGATAAAACTCAGTGCAAGATATATGCAAGGTAGCCAGCTATTACGGGATGAGAACATACATACAATCTGCTACACAATCACAGTTCTCCAGTTTAGGTTTAGGCAACTTGTTTGGCTACTATACCTCGTTAATCAAAGTATCAGTGCTGATGAAACAATGTAATTTCATATCCTGGGGAACTATTGGCTCCTTATTACTTTCTCAGAAAAAATGGCATTGTTAAGGACTTATGTGATGGGTGCAAGCATTGATTTAACCTCTTCTGTTTTCTTTCCCTTGTTACATCGTAGGTTTTGTGGGACTGGTATTTTTGTGCTAGCAGTCATAACTTTGTTAAAGACGCTGGAGTTTACATAACAGGATAGCTTATATAACATGGGATCTATTCCAGCAGGGCCCAGACACATCCTTCCCGCAGTTTTGGGAGACAAGATGAGCAGAAGACTTCAAGAACAGCACTGTGCTTCCTTGCAATTAATATACTGCTCAAACTAAAGTCTATTTAAAAAAAAATTATTCTGAACATTACACAAACAGCAGCCACTTCTTTCTCAGATTGATCCCAACACAATTGCCAACAAAGGGCAAGTGTTTGCCAACAGCTGTCACACTGAAGTATGCAAGATACTGTATCGCAGGTTTTCCTTGAATTGGAATAGGAAGTTGTAGCTTCATGATATGTACTGGCAAACAGAATTGTTTGCTTAATTTATTTTTAAACATTGTTCTGTGATTAGTCATCTTAGATGGTTTTACCAAGGGAAAAATAACCTATTATTTTCCAAGTCCCAAGTCTTGTGCTAAAATCCCTCTTTCTAAACATCTCAATCTGCAGATGTACTTGAGGCATGGCTCTGGCGATGGAAATCCATAAAACAGAGACCCATATCGACAGCAGTCATTGAAAGACAACGAAATACAAGACTTGTCGCAGCCTCACTTGCGGTAACGATTTAAAGACTTTTCTTCATTAAAAGAAATTAAATAAAAATTCATTAAAAGCTGGCAAGATCTCCTTTTAAGAATTTTAAAATCATATTCAATCTTCAAATGCTAGGCAACTCTAACACTGCATGCCAGTGAAACTTAGCTTTATAGACGATAACGTGCCCTTCCTTTCCGCCCCCAACAACACAGACAAATTAACTGAGGTCCTGTTTGTTCCTCTCACCACCCATAACATAGTGATCCTAACAATGATTTTTCAAATAAATATTTGTCTTATCAGAATAGTTACTTAAATAGTACTGACCTAAAGTACAACACTCAAAGCAGCTCACTCACCAGGTTTGACATAACCTACAGATTTGCTGAATTTTGAAGAAGTGGACAACTGCAGTATTTTTCTGATACAGCAAGTCTTTGTTTTCTATTTGTGTGCAGCAACACTGCATTTGACTTACAGTATTTTGATCTTATCTAATATTTTCTAAAGTGGGTTTACAGTGATTTGGAATACAGCATGGAGGCACCTTAAAAAAAAAAGCATTCTGAGAAGACAAATTATTTTAGAGGGATTCACAGTTCTGGGCTATGAACTGTTATTTGATCTTCTCCTTGTATAAGGAGGTAAGTAAGATAACAAACTTTTCTGAGCTTATACAACACCTAATTGACACGGTCCTGAAGTATAAAACATGTCTTACCTCTGTGGTACTCTTGAGTTACTAATCTTTGCAGTTGTTGGCTTGTCAGGACACGATGAGTGCCTTTTAGCTTCATCTTCATATAACTCTGCCAAGGCCAACTGTAGGAAACAGGAATCTTTTTAGAAGTATGTAACTGTAGAACTATATATAGCAGAAATAAGACAAAACTCATGCAAAAAGCACACATCACAAAAGAGAGAGAGAGAGAGAGAGAGAGATTGTGAGTTACTACTTTTGTAAATTCAGCTTCTTTTCTGCTTTATGAACAAAATGCATGATGTTCAACATGATCATTTAAGTGTGACTTTGAACTTGTACTCTGCGTTTATTTAGTCCACATTGCTTCATTACTTACATTCAGCCTGTATTAGATTCAGAATTACAGGAGAGAAAGCTGTGTATATATGTCCACACACATGTATTATGCATCATCTCATTAACATTAACAAACTGAAATAAAGTTGCTGTGTATCTCTCTGATAAGACTTGAAAGTACAAAACAATTTATAAACATTTTATATAGAAATGGGAAAAGTTCAACTCTTATAAGTTTGTACTAGACTAAGATTCAAATTCAGCCTTAATCACTTGAATTCAAGATATTATTTCAGACACTTTTAATGAAAGCTTTCTCCAAAGGTACCGTAAACGCTGCCATACCATTGGCACACTCATTTTTAAGGAATGTTGTGGGATGCACATCTAACATGCCATTTTTAGCATATACTTCTGTTCTGAATAATATTCCACTTCATTTCTCAAAATTAAGGAAATTTTATCTTCAAGCCACAGTGCCATAATGTGATTTTTTTTCTTTTTTGGGTTGGACTATGCAAACAATATTAACATTTCATCATACACAATAGAATAGGTACTGCAGGACTACAATTTCATTACAGTTTTCTGCACAAGCAATGAACAAGAAAAAAAATGAAACATTGTCTGTCCTTCAAAACAAACTATTAACAAGCAAAGCATGTAATGCTATATTGCTGTGAGACATTCTCTGGGGGGAAAAAAAGAGCTGGGGAATTGTAACTATTAAGAAAAATTAAACTGAGTAATGAAATTAAGAAAACCATTTAAGATATCCTCTTTCTCTGAGGATACAAGCAAGCATCTTTCAGTAGGTAAAACACATGAGGAAGGTCATATACAACAGGTTCAAAAGCAGATGGTAAAAGGAACAGGTAAAGACGTACTCTGTACCATTCCTAATTCAAAGACTGTGGGATGCTGAGGGAGCATAAGGGGGAATAGTCAGGTTTCTGTGCTTTCCTTATACCACATCACTTATTGCCACCATTAGAGATCAAATACTGAGCCAGATGAATCACCACTCTGACCAACAAGAGCATTTCTTTGGTTCTTAAAATGTTATTAGTAATCATCTACCTAGAAAGCCCTCCTACTTCCATCATCTGATTGAAAAGCTTACAAACCAAGAATATTAACACAGCCATTACAATTGGCGCGTATTATAGTAAACGTTAATCTCAACAGGAACCTCTGAAAACCCCAAGTGACACCTACATGAGACAGATGGATGCAGATTTCATGTTTTTACATAGTTACGTATAATTAAATAAAACGGAGACAGATTTAGCTGCTCAAACTTTCAACCCTTCTGTAACCAACTCATTGCCAAAATGTCTTGAGCCTTCAGGCAATGCGAAAGTCACAGAAGAGTGAACACCACTAAAAACACTTGTGGTTGAGGGTTTAAGTACCAACATGGAATTATACCTGTGGCCACACTTTCTCAAAACTTTGCCTGTGGAAATTTAGGAAAACATCTTGTCCTCAGTCTTATCTTACATTTGTGAAGACTGACGTTTTCATGCACACATGCCTACTAAATAATCAGGGAGGGAAACGAAAGAATAATTGCCAAAATAACTGGTATTACAAACAAAACCCAGAAACTAAAAAAAAAGAAGAGCCTTTGCAGCATCCTGGAAAGCTAACCATTGCACACACACATCCCTCGTTGTTTTCTGAAGCGTCTACTCCTTGTTCAGAAGCTCCTTTCTCTTCTCAGTTTCCAAAGCAGGGAAAAAAGAAGAATAAAAGAAGGAAGCTTCCTCCCAGAAAAGCAACCGGGAGCAGCCTCTTGGCCCCGTGAAAGGGCACTCGATCCCCTGGTGCCCCAGAGGCCCGCTCCGAGCGGCTCAAGCCCGGCATCCCCGGGCAGCGCCGACCGGCAACGCGAGGGGCAGGGGGAGCCGGCGGGCCGGGCCGGGCCGGGCC